TAATAAAGAATACATTAATTTAATGCAAGAAATTGTATATGGCTAATAAAGTGATCTTATAAAGTACTGTGATTACTATGTGTATGTGGAATCAACATTGTCAGGTTTAGTAAGGCAATTCTGTGTGCAGAAGGTGCCTACTGTTGAAAGAAGATAGCTTTTAAAATGGGAATAATTTTAAATTCAAATATAAACTGGGTGTGCAAAACATCAGTTTAGACAGGAATCTGGCCTTCAGCCTGCACGATCGGTTCCTGGTGACGTCATCAGCAAAGCGCCGCCGTGTAGTAGCAGTAGGCGGGGGAGGAGGAGGAGGGCGTGCGTGTCAGGTACAGAAAGACGAGGGTGGTAAGGCAACAGAGGATTTATCAGCGAGAGGTAATTTCTCCTTTTTTTTTTTGTCTGTTTCGTGGTTTCTCTGGTCTTTCGTACGAGGAGCCACGGGCAGACAGGATCCAACGGTTTTATCACCCTCCCATCGGCTTGTTTAAACTGAGTGAGGCTTGCAGCTGTTCTGGTGCACGGCGTATCTCTGCTGTCGTGTGTGTGGGGGCACAGGCCTTACTTAGCCTGTCACACTCCTTCAAGCGTGACCTCTTGGGCTGTGCCGGGCACAGCAGCCGCCAGTTTCACCCCGGGTCTTATCTGCAGTTAACCAGGCGTGAAGGTCTGATGGCAGCGACGGCGGGCTGACAGACCGGGGGTCCTCGCCTAGGGAGGGTCCTGTGTTCCAGACCCGTTCGGTAGGATTTTACAAACAGCCCTGGTGCTCTGTAAGCTCCTGTCCGTACAGCACCGGCTGTAGATCTCTCTCGTGTTGTTGGCTAAACCCATATAAACGTCCGTCTAATATCTGATTTAAAAGGAAACTGGGGTTTTCTTCATTTCTTGTCATAAAAGAAACAACGCGAGATATAGATTACTAAGTGCCATTTATAAACCTCCTCCTTGTTTGCTTCATTGACTCCGAAGTGTTTCTAATTAAATAAAAAAGTTGTATTTTATTGGACTACCTTAGGTCGACCTGTAGCTATTCCGTTCTTTAAAGTGCCACTTCGCTTCTTGAAGTCTGGGCTGCCGAGAATCTAGTCGATGTAATTGAACGTTTTTTTTTAAATACTGATCAGCAGTTCTGTATACGAGAGTGAATGTTAAAGACAATCCCCATTAAAATCACAGGAGGTATTGCACGTGTAGATGCGTGGTACATTAAATTAAAGTGGCTATATATTAGATTGGATTGCATCACAGGTGAGGGGAATTCAGCGCTGTTCGGTTTATCGATGTGGATACACTAACCACGAGGAAAGAGTTAATTCAGAAAGCAAGGTCATAAGTCCATTTTCTTGTTCCCTGTTCTTCACGTGGACTCTAATTTTAGTTCTGCAAAACAGCGTGTGGAAGAGGCAGCTGAGTGTTACATGCACACTGCTTTTAGCAGGCCGGTTAGTACACACGCCAGTTTTTCTTAAAACGAGTTCGATTTTTTTTTTTTTCATTTTAAGATGTAGACCTGCTCAGAGGACTACCCAGCTGGCGCGCACCTACTGCATGTGTGGCTGAGGTTAAGGTGTAGGGCGCCGTGAAGAGAGGAGGATCCCACAGTTTCGAGCCCACACCCTTTGGAGAGAAGCTGCGTGCGTGGGACCGTCAACAGGTACACTCATTTGTTGCATGCATTTTCAGGCTTGCAAAATTGTATACGGAGAGGTCTTTTGTAATTGGGTGACCATCTTTCCAATACATGGTTAACCATAGACTATAATAAAGAATACATTAATTTAATGCAAGAAATTGTATATGGCTAATAAAGTGATCTTATAAAGTACTGTGATTACTATGTGTATGTGGAATCAACATTGTCAGGTTTAGTAAGGCAATTCTGTGTGCAGAAGGTGCCTACTGTTGATAGAAGATAGCTTTAAAAAGGGGAATCATTTTAAATTCAAATATAAACTAATTAGGGCGGCGTTGCTGGACAAGACAGTGCGGCGCTGTGAAACCAGAGAGACACCAGCCTGCCTCTTCTCTCGGAGTCCTCGAGAAATTGTGTCCTGTGCACCTTGACTGCCCGAACGTGGGAGTCCTCCCGAGCTGGAGTTTTAATTAACAGACCCCAGACTGCTGCTGCTCCTCCAGAATTTGCAGATGAACACCAACGCAAGTTGTTACTTTCTTGAACTTCGCTGGAGGGTGCGTCACAGTCCAGGGTCAGGGAAAATGCAAACTGAGATAAGAAACGGTTGATATTCCGTTTTGCGTTTGCGTCCCTGATCCCTGTGTGCTACGGAGGGCAGTTGTAGGACAGAGGTTTTTCAAATTGCTCAGCGATGTTGGGGACAGAAAGGGGGCGGAGACGGTCTAGAAACGGGCAGCGAGTTTTTTTTTCCCACCCTGTCCGTAAGGCTGTTGAACTTGCAGAAGGCCTATGTACAGTGTAACGTTCTTGCTAAACACAAATGAGAGATGTTGTGCACTAAAAAGAATAATCCCATTTGATGGCATTACAGCATTTTCAAGCGCGATTTAAAAATCGATGCCTTTTTGTTGCATCAAGTTTTGTATGTTGCACATGCACAAGCTCTCGTATGGGGATGTTAGTGTCTGCTCCTTTTTGTGCTTGGTGGTGTCATGCTGATTTAATGCTTGTGGTCAGGTTTCATATTGCACATGATTGAAGGTCACCATCTTTTCTCAGTGTGTGGAGACTAGACAACAAAATACACCGCGTTTGCAAGAGAAATCAGCACAATATGACGCTAGACAGCATTAGTGAATCTTGAGTGGGTCTCTTAACCCTTTGTAGTGTTGCCTTTTGCTGTACAGAAGTCTGCAACACCTTCACATTGTACAGATGAAATCGTGTTCTGTGGGACTGAAGTATATTTCTGACAAAGAATCTGTAAATACTGTGGAAGTGGAATTACTGGAAAGCTTTTTCTGGGATTAAACAAAACAGAAGATTAAATCTCAGAAAGACCTATTAAAGGTTACAGGTTGTCAAAAAGGCACAGACATGTTTTTGTAATTAGCATTACAAAATGCTAACATTACAAACTTTAACATTCTTGAATGGCAAGTCTATGACTTTTACTGGGTCATATCATGACCCAAAGTCATTGTGTTTTAATCATTTTTATATTCCCATTCCCAAGTTTTTTTTGTATTTGCTCTTATTCTGTATATAAGAGGAAGATGTAGAATAAGATGTGGGAACTTTTCTGAATGTAAAGGCAGATCGTGACTGAAAAAAATATCCAGATGTCACTTCTCACTGAACTTCATGGAGCATAGATTCACAATCACCTGTCAATGTAGTATACTCATATTCTCAAATTAACGCTGGTTTTGTCTGTCACTGTCACCTTAAAACACCTTTTTTTAATATCTTAGAATTTTGTGATGCTTTGGAATTAAAAGTGCTGTACAAATGCAAACTTATTTGGACTTTTTTTTCAAATGTTGGATGCCATCAAGTATGACTTAAAACGGCGACAAAGATCCTTTTTTCCCACGAGTGTTTTAGTGTTAGCGTAGAATATTTCAAAAGAAACTGAGAAAATGTTTCAAAGAGAAAACCCAGATTTACTGTTACTTTGAGCCCCGATTGACTTGCAACATTCTAGAAAACCAGTTATTGGAGCAAAACTGTGAAGTCACTCCCACAGGTGCTTTTCAGATTTCAGATTTCTTTAGATGTTCATGGATGTTTTTTATTATCTTTATATTATTTTGGTCTGTATTTATGGATGTGGTGACTGGAGGCCTTACTTCAGTGTCCTTTAAGTAGTTTTCACTTTCATTTCCTTATTTCAGAACATTATTGTTTCCAGGATTCTTCGGCAATAAGGTTTCTATTTCTGTCCAAGTGGTCTGTTGCTTTTGTTGACAGACGGAATATTTCGGTGATTTTAGGTGACCAGAACTAGGTGTTTGAATGTCATTGATGTGCTTTTCAGTCCGTAATGACTGTTAGTTAAGAAGTAAAACAATGTTGATTTATATATCAAACCTTTCGATTTTAAGAGTCACAACCCCTGCAGAAATCGCACGACCATTTGTGTTCCATCTTGTAATCTTTAAAGCTATCGAGAAACATTTTTAATTTTGAATTTACGAACACAAACACTAGTTTTGCTTTTCAGTAAAAAAAAAGGCCAAATATCACATTGCATGCAATCAAATGGACTTTGAACAAAAATCCCCTTTGTGAAAACTTTTTTTTTTCTATGGTTATCAGGATACGTCTAGGGAAAAGATCAAGCGTAGGAGAACTTGAAAAATGTAAGTCTGTATTTATTCGGGTGCTTTTTGTAAGTAGTAGAATAAAAAACTTTACTTTTATTTCTGTGAATCAATTTGGTAAGAATGCTGGTTGTACTTGGAATTTATTCCAGCCAGGGTTCTTCACATTCGGTATGACATATGTTGTCATTTTGTTTGTGTGCTTATTTTTTGTGTGTTTTGCACTTCTGGGCCACCATAGATTTTGTATGTGCAACAATGAGAACTTCCTAAAGCACATTTTGGACTTTTTGACTTTTTTTAATTATAAAGTTACCTGAGGTGCTTTTTTCATATCGTAAAAGAGGCTTTAGTCATGATGAGGTCCAGAAAATACTGGTACGGTATGTGTTGAAAGTACAGGAATACTATTATTTAATGGATTACCTCCCAAACACTTTACTTCTGTTGGTGTAGACTTAACATGAGAAGCCACCAAATTGTTCTGGCGCAATATGGCTGCCGTCGCATCATCCAGGTGGATGCTGCACATTGGTGGTGGTGGAGGGGAGTCCCCATTACCTGTAAAGCGCTTTGAGTGGAGTGTCCAGAAAAGCGCTATATAAGTGTAAGCAATTATAATTATTATTATAAATTACATTTAGCAAACTGAAATGGATTTCTGACTGATGAGAGATACAGTACATCTCATTTCATACTCATCACATTTTACTAAAGGATGGTCCTGCGAAGTACAGAAATGCTGCTGCTTAATTTCAACTTAGACAAGAGTTGTTCACCAGACAGGAAACGGTAGGCCTTTATCACAAATAAAAACAGTCCACATTGGTTGCAGCACTTTCTCTGTGCTACGTGTAGTGCTTCAAAGCCAAATACATATATAGAGTCAATGTAACGTTTGGACAGAATTTTGTTTGATTTTCTCCGCAGCTTCTGTTTTTTCTCAGGCTGCCAGGGAAACGACAGAAAAATCCATGAAAACTGAACTCGCCGGTGTTCCAGGTTCATTCCTGGGAGATGTTGTTTTGAATTAATGACTAGATTTAACGTGTTTTTCAATTACATGGGGAATTCTGTTTTCCCTTTTTGTTTTTTGTGCCGGTTCGTTAAAATCTCTTTGGGTTTGTGGGAGTAAGAAACGAGAATTCCTTACTTTCCTTCCAGAAGGGGCTGGATGTGATCCTGGGGTCGATGAGCTGCTGTCTGCCTTAATGGGCTCGATCGACCAAATATGTCTCCCCTCGTTTGTAACCGTTCTTGTGTTCCTAATTGCAGCCTCCCTTTGGAAGTGGATGCTGCAGGCCCATTTGAACGGCGCAAGGAGAGGTGAGTTGTTGAAGCGCAGTGTTTTATTCACTGTACGAAGTGGCGGTTTCTAGTTCCAGCTTCTTTGCATTCTGATCAGGAGGGGTAGGTATGGCTGAAACCAACCCCCCGCTGATCCTAAATGCGTCAGAGCTATGGAACAGCTCTCGCATAAAGGTAGCTGTTAAGTGGTTTAAAGTGGTAAGAATTAAATGAGTCTCAGTGATTGGCTCAGATGTCTTTTTTTTTTTTTTAGATGTGCACATTGTGTTTGTATTTCAGTGTTTACATGGGCATGGGAATAAAAAAACACCCTCCATACACTTAGCAGAGAGGTATTGTTCAAATGAAGGTGAAGTGAACATTTTTTAAAGTGAAGTGGATAATTGCTCATCTCGCCAACAGTGCTAGTTAATCTTTGTCACATACCCTCCATTGTAACCTCATTACCTCATGAGCTGGGGTGGGGAGGGGATTGTAATTTGTCCAGTTAATAGTTTTAAGTAAACTGCATTTTAACTAGTTTTATCTGTCATGCTCAGAAGAGTGGAAAGGCAGTATTTCTACCGCGAACAGCCTTTTACCCACTGAAACTCAATATAATGTAAAAGCTACATCAGGGCAGTTTTCCACAAAATAAATATGAATCGTACCACATCATTTGAAAGACTGTAACCAGACCTAGGTCACGTTGCGCTGTGTTGAAAAAAGTTTTTTTTTGTGATGTCAAAACAAACAGTCTAACCTGACTCCTTAAACGGTGCCGTGAATCATAACAGGTTTTGGAGCTGGCAATAAATGCTATCTGTTTTCTGGTTTGCATTTTTTTTTTTCATCAAGTGTATTGTGGATAGGGAGAAGCAAGGCCTGTATTGTGCTGCACAATTTCTGCAGATCCTTTTCCTCTGTTTGATTGGCATTGCTTTTTTGGTTGGTCTCCAGTGAAGTGAACTCAACGCTACAGAGCTTTTTTTTTAGTTTGCGATGGGGTGTCCTAAATCTTGGAAGACTGGGTGCTGCAGGCTTTATAGATATCTTTAATCCACGCCAGCCCTGCAATGTGGGATACCCTGTTCAGTTTCCATGTGGATCACCAAGCCACAGCAGGAAGATTTATTTTTAATTTTCTTTCCTGTGTTCAGACAGGTTCCCCTGACACCCATCGAAGATCATCAGTAGATGTTGCTGCACACGTGAAGACAGGTGTGAACACCATTTTACTCCTCCCTTGCCTTGATGTCACTCTGTGATATTTAGGACCAAAAACTGTAATTCCGTAGGATTTTGTAAGTGATCACCCAGTTAAACCTGGGAAGAGATCAGTGTTTAACAAATCGTAGACTGAGGTGAAACAAAAACCAGGGGAACCTACTAGTCTGATCCCATTAATGATCCTCAGGACCTAAGCAAAGCTACACATTGCAAGATACACTGAAACCCCTTCTGGGTTTGCAGACCAGAGAGAATGAATCTGTACTATTTAACTGTAAAAAAACTTTAAAGTAGGTGTTTGTAAATTTCGTTTGAACAAGATTCAAGAAGGAACGCATTAGTGATAGAAGTGAAGTTAATATATTACGTCTGAAAAAGTAATATTATTGCATTACAATTGCATTGAAATGACATCGGGCAGTTTGTAATGTTGCTGGTCTTTTTTGCAGGACCATGGCCTCAGCCAGCTGGGCCTTCTAGGAGATGCCCCAGTGGTAAGTGCCACTTTCCCGTCCTTTGTCATATTTCCTCCCTTGCTTGGATAGAAGTTCAGCTCGTCGGCACTCTGGCTCACAGTGGTCAGTGGACTTGCCTGCAGCCCAAACAGAGTGACCCCCGTGGAAACGCAGTTTCCTGTGTGGGAGGCAGGCAGCTCCCAGTGCTGAGCGAAAGCACTTGGCTTAGGTGCATCAGTGGTCACAGGGACAAAAACGTGATGGTGGGGTTCATCTGGATTTTATAACGAACGAGTTTCAAACAGTTGTTTTTATGTGCACTTGTTTCAAGGTTTCAGGAATGAATGTCATCTTTCATGCCTTAGGAATGTTTAAAGAGCAAAATACAACCATACTCTAAGATTCCCTTTGTTAGCTTTAGAAAAATAGCTTTGGTTTCTGGAATCTGCTTTTTGCATTACTCCTCTTTGATACTGAACAGGGTTCCTGGGCTGGTGCCACAAGCCTGTGGGTTCAAGGCCTTACTGTAGACATCACTTTCTTTCCTTGAGCATTGTTACCCTGTAGTTGGGTACTTCTTGAGGAGTTTACCCTGATTACTCCAGTCCTTCTTGCTTTGCTCATGGGGATGAATCAACAATGGACTATAGCCACACTCTTGACTCTCGACCCATTAGTGATCCCTGGTGTCCGTACAAATGATTCCTTAAGTTCACACTGTGCAGTTGAGCTGGCAATAGAAAGCAACCAGTGGTTCCTCACAGACTGTTTCTGTGAGGAACCACTGGAGTTGATTCTCCTGACTGAACCGAGGAAGGCAGAAGATAATGGAGCTATATTTCCGAACATCTTATAACTGGGAGCCCACTGAAGCTCTGCAGGTGTGAGCCTGGCCAGTACCTGGATGAGAGACTTCCTGGGAAAAGCTAAGGTTGCTGCTGGAAGACGTGTGTGTGGGCCCAGTAGGGAGCGCTCAACCTGCGGTCTGTGTGGGTCCTAATGCCCCAGTATAGTGATGAGGACACTTTACTACAAAACCAATGGCGCCGTCCTTCGGATGGGACGTAAAACAGAGGTCCCTACTTCCTGTGGTCATTGAAAATCCCAGGGTGTTTCTCGAAAAGAGTAGGGGTGTTACCCCGTTGTCCTGACTAGTTTTCCCTCTGGACTTTACCAATCATGGCCTCCTAATAATCCCCATGTGCGAATTGGCTTCATCACTCGGTTCTCCTCCCCACTGATAGCTGGTGTGTGGTGAGCGTACTGGTGCACTCTGGCTGACGTGGCATCATCCAGGTGGGGCCGCACACTGGTGGTGGTGGAGGGGATCCCCATTACCTGTAAAGCACTTTGAGTGGAGTGTCCAGAAAAGCATTATAAGTGTGTAAAGATGATAACGATTATGTAAGCTTTTTTTAGATGAGACGTTTGCCTTGGCATGCTGACCCTTCCCCAATGTCACATTTAAAAATGTTTTGTAAACTGCTCAATTCCATACTACCGAACTGCACTTGTAATTGTTAGACAACCCCTGAGTGTGAGGAGAAGTCTGAGCGAGTTAATATGGCCGCTGTAAAGCTGTCATAGATTGGGTTAATAAATAACTTCCAGTGTTTACCCTGTACTCCCAGTGAAAATATTACAAGTATGCAGTGTGGCACTTGTTTGATAGTTTTTTTTAAAAATGCCTCATCCCTCTTAAAAAACATTGAAGACCTCTGAACTACAGTATCCCATTCAGAGGAACCTTATGTTCTTATTTTGGCTAATATTACAGAAACTAAAATAACTTGAACCTTCAGAATTGGTTGAATCCCTGTCTGGCTCCAACTCCAGTTGGCTCTTGTCTCATCATACTTTTGTGTTACAGTGCCTGGCTTTTACAGTTTAGGATTCCCTTCAACAGGAAAGCAGAAGTGAGCAAAACATTATTTTCTTCTTTCCAAAACATTACTTATTTTTTACTTTCTTCCCTGTATTTTCTTTCGACCATCTTCTCATTTTGTGAAGAGTGCCGAAATGCTTATGTACAAAAAAAACTATTAAAACATGGAGAGCACTTGAGGATCAATCTGAAGAGATAACATGAAAGGTTTCACTTTTGGGGTTTGTCCTGTCTTTCATTGCTCTGAAGCTCCTAGGCTATATATCCTTTTAATGCGAACATGGAACGTCAGTCCTCTGATATCTGCAGTAGCTTGTCAGGCTATTAAATACACTTGCCTCCAAACCAACTGTGGGACTTGACATTTGTACTTTGTCAGTAACTTTAGGTGTAGCATAGGAGACTGAGACATGTTTAGCTCCAAGTGGTTTGATATCCAAAAGTACAGGAAAAATGTTGTGCAGGCATCAGTAGCATGGGCTTAATGTGTTAAAATCCGAATAATTGACATTCAAGCTTTTGAAATGATCAAAAGTCAAAGGTTACCAAATGCTGTAGTCCATGAAGGTTGTCAATCAAATTTAAATTCTCATTTTTGCTGTGAAGAAAGATTTGCTTGTGATGTGCACATGACCCGCTGGGGAACGTTTGAGCAAAGCTGTAAGGCAATTGGAGTCCCAGTCTATGGAACATCGCGGTGTATGATATGATCTCTTTCACAAAGAAATCTGCACAAAGCTTGTGTATAACTGCTTGTTTTAGATATTGATTTCTATATAAGAAAGTAATTTATGCTTGGAATTTGTGTATATGCCTGATATGTGGGCTTTTAGAAGTGCATGATAAATTATTCAGTGAAAACTCCTTCAGGACTTCATATTATATTTATGTGGGCTCAAATATACTGTAAGACATGTAAATGAGATGGCAGATTAGTATTTTCAGAAGCCAGATTTATTTTATTTCAACCTGTGTTTCAGAAAATGGCTTCCTCTGCAATGTTCAAGTTATTACAGCCCTGATGCTAACAACTTCTGAGTGTTTTAAGCTTGTATTAGAAAAAAAAACAGAGAAGAACACATTCCCTTTGTATAGAGGTCCAACAGCTAACGCATTTGGTGAGCAGATAAACTCCAGGACATGCCATCCTCATAAAAGTATCCGATAAGATGTGAATCCATTTTTGTCATCATTATAGAAAAGACATTATTGCAAACAGGAGAGCAGGAAGACCATATCTTAAGTAATTTTGTGAATGTTTCTACTGAATTCCGAGATGTAAGGGTGTTATTATGGGGCCGAAGTGCAATCTCCAGTGTTGAAATGGAGGGTGTGTTGATTAAGCTTTAAGCTCTGTGCGGGGAAAAAAACAGTCTTCCTTCAAATGGATTTCGAGATACTGTAATGTCAGGATTAAACCAGAACCGTGAATGTAAAACAAAGGAGTAAATTTCATCTTGTATTTGGCGGAAATAGATCCCCTTCCCTTCACACACAGACCCTTTGTGTCATAAAATGGATTATTTGGCATGCAGTTGCTTCCCCTTACATATGCATTTAGAGATTCTAGAATGCGTAGTACTTAAATTCTGTCAAAGAAGAAGCACATTCATTTTTATAATGGACATACAAGCTTGAAGAGAATTGGTCGATTTAGTCCATCTGTTATAATTTCTGCATCCGTGGTTTTCTTGGCCACACTAAAAATTGTGGTAGTTTATTTATAGAATCAGTAAAAACAAATTTAAACCGATTGTTTTTAAGGGCCCAGTTGAGTCTTTTTCTTAAATAGAAAAATAATTGGCGTATACCTGAAACTAAAGGATTTATTTAGGCAACAATGATACTCTGATTAGCGTTTCTGTTACGTAATGGAGAGAGCAGGTAAGATATCCAGCAGAGGAAGGGTCCCCTTGGCTGTATTAACTGATGTAGCTGCAGGTAAGAATTCCATAACCATGCCAAACAGTTCTGCCTGCAGTTGGGAACAGCCTGGTTTTTAGGACTGATGTGTCTTAGATGGAAACTGCACCACCATATGACCGGGAGAAATTCGTTTTCTCTTCAAACTCCTCATGGGTCATTTCAGGACCAGTGTTAAAATTTGGCCCAGGGTAGTTGACGGCTGTGGTTCTTGTCCCCCCCCCCCACAGCTGACGGAGGATGAAGGCCAGGGGCTGACTGTGCCGTGGGATTCGCCGCCATGGATTCGGAAGCCCAGCAGAAGCAGGGGAAGGAGCTGGTGTTGCCAGCCTCCCCGGCTCAGCGCCTGGCTGGCGTGACGCCGGGCAAGCACTACCTGTGCGGCTCCTGCGCGGCGGTCACGAACATCGCCATCACCTTCCCCATCCAGAAGGTCCTGTTCCGCCAGCAGCTGTACGGCCTGAGGACGCGCGACGCGGTCCGGCAGCTGCAGAAGGACGGCCTGCGCAACCTCTACAGGGGCATCCTGCCGCCGCTCGTGCAGAAGACCTCCACCCTGGCGCTGATGTTTGGCTTGTACGAGGACTTCTCCAGCCTGCTGCTCCGGCACACCAGCGCCCCCGAGCTGCTGACCCGCAGCCTGGCGGCCGTGCTGGCGGGGACAACGGAGGCCATTTTCACCCCCTTCGAGAGGGTCCAGACGCTCCTGCAGGACCACAAGCACCACCACCGTTTCAACAACACGTTCCACGCTTTCCGCAGGCTGCGCAGGGAGCACGGTTTCCGGGAGTACTACCGAGGCCTGGGCCCCATCCTGCTGCGCAACGGCCCCAGCAACGCCCTCTTCTTCGGCCTGCGGGGTCCCATCAAACAGTGCCTCCCCGAGGCCAACACGCGCGCCGCCCACCTGGTCAACGACTTCATCTGCGGCGGGGTCCTGGGGGCCATGCTGGGCTTCCTCTTCTACCCGCTCAACGTGGTGAAGGCGCGCATGCAGTCGCAGGTCGGCGGGGACTTCCCCTCCTTCAGGACAGTGCTCGTCACCATCTGGCGCGAGCGCGATGGCAAGGTGACGCACCTGTTTCGAGGGGCCCACCTCAATTACCACCGCTCCCTTCTCTCCTGGGGCATCATCAATGCCACATACGAGCTCCTGCTGAAGCTGCTGTGAGGGAGGAGGGCAGCGGCAAACTCTGTCGGAGAGGGTGATGCCAAGAAGGGACAAACAGGACCAGACGAGCATGATCTGGTGCAAAGGAGCACTGGTTTTCTTGCAAAAACAGGTTGGGGGATGTTTCTAAAAGTGACAAACTCGTGTAAGAGCTGTTTTTGGTGCTCCTAATGTTCCTCAGCTGGGCTTCTTTTCAAAAGGTTTTTCAGCTTCTGTCATTCATTACCCATCCTACAGAGTTCTTTCAGTAAAGCTTTTCTGCTGAGCGGTTTCTCTTTAGCAGAAAATATTCAGCAGAAGGGCTTGTTTTGTTAAGTTTTTGAGGTGCACCCTCCCACCACATCTTATAAGGGATCCCTGCCTCACATACAGGTCTGTGTGCACCAGCATTGCGTTTCAGCTAGAATGGTACTCGTGCCAAGTGAATTTCCACAGCTCACCTCGCCTTTCTCAGGAGAGGATCATCCTTTGACTCTTCTGCAGCCCATAACATGAAAGCAAAACTTTCAAATGGGAGCTGTCCAACTTCATCCTTATCAGGGCATCGGTAATGGCACTAGACTCTGTCAATAGTCAATATAAAGAGAGAAAAAGCGTTTTAAAACGGTGATCTGAAATGTTGGGAATTAGAGAAGGAATACAGTGCTGCTGCTCAGGGAGGTGCAGACATAGCACAGTGCTGGCAACGTTTTCAAAGACATTCAGAGCTTCTTGTTTTTTGTCTTTTTGAACTCGTAATAAAACCCCATACGTTTTTCAACACTCTTCCATATTTGTTGTTGCCTGTCATAACCTCCAATGTTGATGGTTGCTTTTAGGAAACTGGGTGACACATTTTACATTGCAGGACACTCTGCAAATGACTTGGGGGGTGTCGGCACCTTTAATTCAGACCCGTCAAGTAACATTACGATGGGTCTCGTTTGTGAACATAGCAAATGTTCTCCTTGCGGACTATAATCCTACAGGGATGAACTGTTCTTTTCATGCGTCGCATGATACGTCATATTGTGCTGGGGGGGAAAATGGTAAATTTCGGATTCAGGAGTCGAGAACTGAGATGTAAGAACACACAGCATAAATTATAAGCACTTGAGTTTCCCAGCCTTGCTGCAGAGGGTGATCTGATAAAGAATCAGATTCTTAATGCTCTTCTCTGCAACCCTTTTAAATATTAAACAGTAAACAGATTCTCTCTGCACTGACAAGGCCATCCTCAGTATATCTGTGATAGTTGTCAAAGGTGAAATATCACCTGTTTATGTATTCAGATGTAAGGAATCCACACTACACAGCTGTATAGCACAGCTGTACTGATCAGCAGGCTTCAGATACTTTTTTTTTTGCAGTATAAAATACACCAGTGCTCAGTTGGAATAGTATTACTAGACTTCTTTTTTTTAACAGTAAAGCCAATTAAAATGGTTTGCTCCCTTACACTATGTCTGCCTTTTTATACAGATTAACTGATAGCCAAGTCTCCTTGGTTATACTTTGACATAAGGAGGTAAGAATTCCATAACCACACCAAAATGTTCTGGCTGCAGTTCTGGAAAGTTTTAGGAATGATCTATATTAGATAGAAACTCGGTGTGACCATGATTATAGCAGTGAGGTATCTCTTGGAACTCATCATGTGGTTGATTTAAGATATTGAAGTTATTTTTTTTTTTAATCAGAGAAATTAAATGATTAAGATTAGTTGCCCATGGAGTAGGATTAGTTGTTTTTTCCAAATAGGAAGAAAAAAAAAGACATTGGTTGTACCTAAAATGTGGATTTTGTTTTTAGAGCCTGTGATGTCAGTGACGGGTGCACATGTCCTGAATAATGAGAAAATTACTTATCTCAACCCAAATGTTAAGACTGTCTGACTAGGAGGAAATCTGCAAGGCATCTCGACAGCACTTAGTTTGTTTTGTCTTGAGAAATGACTAACCTGTGGGAGGTCAGCAAGAGGACAAAATCGTGGACCACATGTCTTGTGTGATAAATATGAATTATTTTTTACATTAATTCAAAAATAATTCTGTAGATATTTTTTTGTATGTATACTAATTATATTTCTTTCTTTTGACCTGTACCTTTAGACCGACCTTTTAAGTCAATAGAGGACTTTGTTTTAAGAAAACCCCACAGGTTGATTTAAAGTCCGACATGCTTTGTTATTCTTCAGTTCCCTTACTATTTTTTGTTCTGCTGCGTCCTTTTGCAAGGGCGGCTAGGAACTACCACTCATGGGTTTCGGCTGAGCAATTAAAATTATCGGAAATTTCCCAAACGGTGTCGCGAGGTGATGGTGGAGATTACTCCCAGCTACTGACCACACAGTAGCTGGGAGTCAGTAATCTGAACCTCCCAACCGGCCTCGGTACTAGCAGGCTTGCTTGCGGTGCTTTTGGCGAGGGAAACCTGTCTCCTGCGATTTGCGATTTAACCTTTTTCCCCCCTCAGGTTTTGTTAAACATAAATAATACAAGTAAAGGAGAAAAAATATCCAAAAAAGAAAAGGGAACAAAAAAAAAACAGAACCGTTTGTTGCAATATATAATTGCAAGTCTGAACACAAGATTACATACATTGTTTTTACCTCATTATTTTATACAAAGTTAAGATTATGAAGATTTTGCCAGCTCTGCCAAATACATTTTTAAATTTGAAGGCGTATTTTTTAGAAATCTTTGTGTTGGCACATCAGAAAATATCGTGATCATAATTTAACGTTTCGTTGTAACGTTCACAGCATATAAAATAAGGCTCAGTGTGCTGAGCAAGTTACAGAACTAACACAGCCCTCCTCTCTGAAATCTATATAGTGCAAGACTACAACGCAACATTGAGGCATCTGCCAAAACAATGAGAGCTATGGAGAGCACAAAGAAAGAGAACTTGATTCATGATTGGAAGGGGGTGAATAGTTTTACGAGTTACAGAATATGTGACGGTAGTATTCCCACCTTGTAACCTGAGCTGGTTGGATCTCGGAAGCTAAGCAAGGTTGTGCCTGGATGGTACTGGGTTGTGCGACCTCCTGGGAGAACCAGATAGCTGATGTAAGTGTTGGGGGTGAGCCGGTAGGTCATGTTATTTTCTCTGGACCAGACTTCCTAAAGCAAGCCCCAGTATGGTGATGGGCAATACCCTGATGTACAATGTGCTGTCTAGATTGCATGGTCATTAAAGATTCTGAGGCAGTTTAGAAAGAGTAGGAGGCATTAATCCCTGATGCCTTGATTAAAGTCTGCTCTGGTCTTGGAAAATTTGGCCATCCAAAGTTTCCCTTTTATTTTTCATTAGGTGAAGCAGTTTCTCTCACCTCTCTAATCTAGTCTGTCTTATAGTAGCAGTGCCTGTGCACATTGGCTGCCATGTTGCACTTCAGTGGCGGTTAAATGGGTCTCCTTCGAAATGTGAAGCTCTTTGGCTTAAGAATTGCTATTTAGATGCAACCAAATATGTGTATAAGCCTTAAGGTTCTAGAACAATTCTTGTCTGAACCATATCCCAGGCCAAGGAGCTTGAAGTCAGACTACAAGTATTACACATTGGAATATACACTCACTGTATATAAACAACTGGGGCATGTCCACAAAGAACACAGTGTTAACATCATTTCCAAAAACCGCCAACAGAAAATCAGGTTCAACGGGCTAAAGATAAACCTAACTGCTTTCACTCTGGTGAAAGACTGTAAATGACTGTCAAGATTAATATTGATGAAACTGGTGTTAAAAGTTTTTTTTTTTTTAAGGTGACATGCAACCAAAATAAACCTGGTTTACTGAATAAAGCACAAATAAAAGCAAACATTTAGGAATCTTTTAGGATTTAAAAAAAAACCTTAAGCTTCTTTATATTTACCTAATCTACTATCAAATGGAAACGTAAGACTGGGTTTAATGTGCACTGGGTTGGTTTTACCAGGAAGACCAGGAAATTCCAGGTTGGTCCTGTAAATGATGGTGGTCCAGTTGTTGGTGTCCTATCCCGTGAACTAGAATTCCCAGCAGAGGGCAGAGTATAGTGGTCGGCGACTGTGTGGTTTTTAACTGAGCTGCGCTGCTGTGTTGTGGGCCTCCTGACAGACTGTGCCGTGCCTCGCCCAGGTAGTGACTGCACTTCAGTGGCAGAAGCCGTGGGTCCACATCATGACGTTCCGTTTCAGGATCCAAAGCAGGATTTAAAATGCCGAGGAATCATCACTGAGGCACACGCTTCAGGATCCTGTGTCTTTGCATTAAGGAACACACTCGGTGAAGAAAATTATTGCCAACAAAAAAAAGTCATCCTTTTGACAGGGCTCTGGTGGCAGTGAGTGGAAGGCAGCTTGGAAAATCTATTGCCAGTCAGTACATGAAGTCTTTCTTTGAAACGATGATGACTAAGCCCCTCTAGATTATATAAATGAACCTGAAGTGGCTCCAAGCGCAGATAGGCTTTTAACAGTCTTGTGCACTGTTAAGTGTTCATATTGCAAATGCAAATATTTAACCTGGCCCTCTGCCACTGCTAGTATCATTCTGCTTGCTTCTAGTTCTGGAGTACTGAGCTTGAGGTTGCACAACTGTATACAGTAGCAGCATTGATGGAGCAGCCTCAGCTTAAATCTGGCTGTTCTGTCAATTACAGCGATTTATACCACGCAGCGAGAGTATTTCAGTGTGTATGACTTGCACATTTTTTTTCAAGCGGTGTAATCCTTTTTTTTTGTGCTTTCTTCATAACATCTCAGGCCTGTAGAGTTTTCTCCATTGTGTGCAATGGCTGACCAGCAGAGAAAGCCTGTGACGAGCTCAGTGAGTTCTCTTCAGATGCATCACACCGTCTTGAGTCCTGTTCATATAAATTGCTGGGATGTGCTTTTCCCCCTTCTAACTTTTTGCAGATCTACCATCCATGATGCAATGATTAATAGGGGAGGCCTACTCTCTCAGTGTCGGGGTGGTTAGCACTGTTGCCTCACAGTCTTAAGGGTATTCATTTTGAATTCAGGCAGGGGTAGCTTCTGCGTGGATGTTGCATGTTCTCACAGTGTAGTTCCCACCTTGTGACCTGTGCTTCCAGGATAGGCTCTGGGATGTCGACCCTCCCCAGGAATAAGCATCTTTCTGCTGATGGATGAATGCCTCATTCTTAAACAGTCCTTGCATTCTGTGCTTTCTATACAGTATATATATGCACTGTATGACTTACAAATGTAAAGGCAGTGTTCTGACTTTTCCATGTACCCTCTGCAAAAAGGTTGAATATACATACTCTAATCATATGTGGACATAATGTGCAACAAACCTGCAGTGATTTGTGAACAAGCTAAGCGTGTTTTTTTAAATATTGATACTTGTCATAATCATTATTTTTTTTCTAAATGTAATTACTTAATATATGCTGTATATCGTCTCGATATTTTTTGTTTTCATTTTTGGGAAAAAAAAAACCCTTTTGGGGGAAAAAAAAACTCAGAAAGCTGTCGTGGTTCATTTTTCCCTGCCTTTCCACTTGAAGAAATCACCCCCCTAGGGCCTGAATTCCCAGTCCTGGTCCCCTTCTAAATTTAATTGCAGCTAGGCTCCTACCTTGCATGAATCCCTAACTGAACTAGCAAGTTGCTTCTGTAGAATCTGTGAAAGTTTTTGTTTTTCCCCCACTCAGTGGTTGGTGATTTTTAGTTACTTAGGAAACAGAATAGGTCAAAGTTCAATTGAAACCTAAATCTGGTGAACTGTGGGCTGAAATATTTCATTGAATTCTCAGATAGAACAAAAACCAGCAGGTACTGTATGTGGACCTGCCTTGGGATCCCCTGACTATCAGTTTAATTTCATTAACCCTTAACAGAAATGGCCTGTTCTTCTCCCTTACAAAACTGGGGTAATTTGAGAAAGAGAATGCAATCATGATGTAGCTTGACATTCCTCTTTCTTTATACTTTATAAAACATTTTATATTACATTAGGAGGGCAGTACAAAGAAGGACAACTGATATACCCAGTCAGTGGTGTGAGTGATAAGGCTCTCGGCTTAAAAGCGAGTTAAACCTCTCTCCAGAATCATCTCTGATTTAAAAAAATGTCCACAGTTCAATGCAGAATTACAAACTGAAAGAGTTAGAGTCATTGGTGTTTGCGCTAATCTGGGGTAAGATAAGCAGACCAGTTCATTCTGCAAAGGCCTCCAGGAGAGAGGAGATCTTCAGAGAATAGTGTCACAGCCCAGCTCCACAGTATCTTCCAAGACAGTACTGTCGTTACACCAATGAGACCCGATTTTCAATAAACAAGCAGAGAAGGGTTGGAACTAAAAGCCAGTTCTTTATTAACAAATAAATGTATATAAAAATAGCCTCTATATTTGAATCAAAGAATTATTTAAACCCCTAGATTTCAGAACAAACTACAAGTGCTCCTCATCTCTATTTCTGTCAAAGATCATGAAAATAAAAATTCACCCTGAACTGTTAAGCACTATACTCCCATTGTTAACAAAACTCTTATATATATATATAGATAGATCTGAAGGTACTACATGATTTATGAAGTACAGGCTGAAATGTTTCGGATACAAATACTAGAAAATATTACCATATTTATGTGAACACCTTAGCTGGCATTTCTTCAGAAGAATGAATGAGGTACAATAGATAAGTACAGTTTAGCAATATTTATAAATAGGGAGGTACTTTTAAAAGACCCTTCTTAAAATTGATTGTCATTTTTGAGAAAAGGTTTAACTTTGTATCTGCATCATCCTCTTGCTTCCTAAAATGCAAGATGCAAAGTTCTTTCCTGTCACAGTATTTAATAACACCATTTCACTTCAAACATTTCTTAGAAATCACTTTTTTTAACAGACAAACTCAGTTTTGAGTCCTGTACCACCTAGCCCCCTGACCTTATCCAATATGTCGTAAATCTCCCCCTTTTTAACTTTTGGGATTTTAAGATGGCATAGCTTGGACCCCAGTACAGTTAAGGAAGTACAATTCATCTTTGTTTTTGGCACAATAACTTAATCCAAGTATATATAAAAAATATTGTTTAAGCATCAAGTACAGTATGTTTCCCTTGAAGAAAGGCAGTCACAGGAAGCTTGACACACTGCCTTGGACGGGTTTAACTACATGTAGCTGTAAATGGTTAACTTGGTAATTGAGCATCAACCGCTCCCTACCTTTTACAGATGAAGTACAAGTGACATGTAAAGACAGTGTTCTATTGTAAATAGGTTTTACGTGTGCATCAATCTGTTTTGGAGAAAAAAAACAGATTCAGGTCATCAGACAAACAGACCATTTGCCTCTGAGAAATTCCAGCAGGAAAACATTTAAACCAAATTTCAGAATGTGTATCTTTTCTAAGACGTAGATATGATCCTCACTTTAAAAAAAAAAAACAACAAAAGTTAAGAGGTTAAAGTGGAAATGGATTTCAGCACATCTTTTGTGTCAAGATGGTTTCCCGTTAGCCACGATAATTTCACTCTGCTCCAAGGTGCACGGCCTCAGCAGCCCGGAGCACTATGTACAGTGCAAGCAGCTTATCTTGAAGGACCTGGTCCCTTGGGGGCTGGTTGGAGAGGTTCTCCCCTTCTTCAGGCTCCTCTTCCACTTCCCAGGAAATGAAGAGCTCCTTGGCCACAGGGACTTCCTCTTTCAAGAGCTGAACATCCACATCCTTCTGCTCCAGTTTCCTCTCCACCTTTCACACACACACACACACATCACAACCACAGTGGAAACTGACAACTCTTTACTTTATGAGACTTTCTCCTAAGGCACAACTCAACAGATGCTAGCTAGCAATGCTAGCTAGGAGCCGTTATTGAATTGAGTGGTTTCCGTGTAAACAACATTTCTGTTACCAAGGAAACCTGGAGGTTCAAGCACAGCGTTGGCTGTGTAGATTAGCTCATACACAATGATATGTAGTTTATGGGTCAAACCAAAAACGTGTGAAGAAGGAGCAATTAAAGTATTTTTTCCCTAAAGCATATATCAGTAAGCCCAGGATAAGGAAATGTAACTATTAAAGACACCCTTAAGCTTTTGAAAATGTTCTGTTTGTAGCAGTAACAGTTTATGGAGGACATAATTAAAAATGTTACAAATTAAAGGAGGTTATGAAATCCACCTTGCTCATTTGGTAGTTTGGTAGCTACTTGACCTGAGGACCCCATCTCAGCCAGCTTATTTCCCAGTTCCAGAACCCTTTGCACAAATACATGCTTCCTGTTCTCATTTATAAATGCACTTCCACACAGTTTCCTCTTGGGTCCCTGGGTCATGTTTCACATGAATTCCGAAAACATCAACTGGATTGGCTTTGACATTCAATGTTTTTGAATACTTGGTTCAGGTTCCGCTGTAAGCCATTAGTCTCGTCTGTTCAAGACTAAAAAGATTGAGTTCTCTTAGCCAGTCAGGGTAGGCCAATGGCCGAATGACAACACTGGGTCATCACAAAGCTGCTTTCCAAAAGGAATTCTGTATGCAGTCACACTAATGTACTGACACCTTGTATGAAATGATAAATGAAGACATATATAATACAATACAGTCCTTGGCATTAGAGGATGATATTTGAAACAGGCATCATATAGTTCACATGGTCTATAGGACAAGTATTTTTAAATTTCCAGTTTGATGGTATTATTACAAAACTTTGTAATTCTATGAAAACGAAAACACTTTCGTACAATTCATAGAAGTTTTCAAATCTTCATGTGACAAAATGTCTCAGAAAAAGACATGGAACTGGAGGATTTCTTATTTGTTTAATTTTGGAATTATGACGATTGCGCCTGTTGTACGATACACCCCCCCATTTCCTCTCACTTTGTAAATCTCGCTTTGCAGTGCTACATATAAAAAAAAAAACGCTGCTCATTTTTTTCCACAAGGTGGAGATCATCCTTTTCTAAAGAGCAGGTCTCAGTTGCAATGCTGATGTTTCGCTGGGTGAATTAAAAGCTACTTAACACTGCAGGTATTGACTGCTGAGGTGTGCTCTTTGCAGCCTTTTAAGAAAAGTGCTAGACTTCTTAAAATGCTAAATTAAGCACAGTAAGTGCTCATACTGGCTTTTGCGTTGTTTTATAAGTAAATATGGAAAAATAAAACACTTGCATCCTCATATACTGTACGTCTGCTACAAACCTCGTGGCTTGTTGAGTCACCTCCTTGATCTCCTCATAATAAGGTTTCTTTCCCTCCATATCTATAACAAACAGGACACAGAACTTTGACACACTTATAGCGGGTCTGAAACCTTTTAGGACTGCTGAATTCTGAGAAGCGCTATTTACCACACATATACAGCGTTTAAACTGGTTATCTGTATGTCATGGGGCTTCTGGAAAAATGTTTTTCCTGACAAAAAAAAAAGTTGAAAACCCCTGGGCTTCCAACGCAATGATTGATTCTTTCACTGTGAGAGCATGATAACGAGAGTGGAGTCGTTACAGTGAATTACCAAAGCTGGTAAGGTGTCTCTGCTGTGGTTTACACCTCCTATCAAGTGTGCTCTGCTGCAGTAGGAAACTGTGCAGTTTTTAAAAAATAAATAACATCTTGGCGCGTTCAGCTCCAGCTCAGTCTTAGACACAGTGAAAAAGACAGGAAAACCTGAATCCCAGACAGTGCTATTCTGATATGAAGATGTAACTTCCTTACATAAAACTGTTACCTGAATTTAGCACTTCATCAATATGTACCAAAGTTCGGTAATATGAAAAGAGCAACTAACACTTTTTTGTTCCATTTAATGAAATGAAAGATCTCTGCTCCGAGTCATAATCCCCCAATGAATGCTTTTGTTGCACTGCACTGCAGCTCATACGGAAATAGATTGGGCAGAGTGTGAGAAATGACTTTTTCAAAAGACGTTTTGCTCAAAGCAAAGCGAATGGTAAAGTCAAAAAGACTGTATACAATCAGTGACAGGCAATCAAACCTACGGTATAAGCAGTCATTTTGAGGAATGTTTTGGAGATAAAAAGGTCTAATATATTCATGAACCAAACGCTGTGTTTAGCCACAGTATGAGCTCATCTGAAAAGCAAACCAGAGGTAACAAAGGCTAAGAAACACAGTCTTATGTCTTTTCTTCATCCCACTGTGAAAAGACAGGAAAGGGAGCTATACTCCGGGCAATGTGTTTCCTTACCAACTGAATCTGCTGCTGGCGAAGATCTTGACTTAGGCTGGTGACATTCAGTACCGTCTGCACATTCAGGTCTGTGAATAAAGACAAGACCGACAATGATTTTCCTTGAAACCAAACGAGTCTCTTATGCTCAAGTAAAGCACAGGGTAAATGTACATGCATAAGACAAGGTACAGGATGTGAATTGTGTTAAATGTACACCTGAAGGGTTTCCTTCCTGTGGTAATCAGCACATCTACCACTGAAGGTGCCCATCTCTTGAGCAGAGACTGGTGGCTGTATGTTATTGCACAGGGAATTTGGCTATCAAAAAGGATACAAAAGCATCAGGAGACGAAGTAACACTATGTGTGACCTGACTCATTTTAAGAAAAAGAATGTCACAGGGTAGGCTTTATTTGTTTAAAAAATGACCTTCAAAGGCGTCAACCAGAAGAGCGAGGGCCCTCCGGAGCTCGTGCTCTTGATCCTCGCCGGTCTCTGACTGGAACGGCTCCAGGAATTGCAGCAGCTCCAGGACTGCCTGCTGGGCCTCAGGGCTCAGGCCCTCCACGAGCGAGGGCTCCTCGTCCGCTGCGGTGCGGCCCTCCGCAATCTGAAACCGCCAGCGCAGACGTTTTTGAAAGGAAACCCCGGGCGAAAGGAGTTTGCGTGTGCAATGAAAACATCGGCGTATGGCCACAGGCTTGGCGGCACTGGGCCAGCCGAAGAGGTTAGGGAAGAGGACTGTGGAAGCTGTATGTGACTGAAGAAAGCTGGTGTATCTACCATGTGAAGGAAGTAAGGAACAAGTAAAGGTTTATTCCATTCTGAAAAGAGAAGAAAAGGAACGACTTCTTCAGGTGACACCCGAAGAAAGCTCCACCACCAAAACGTTACTTTTCTTCTCTTTTCAGCATGGAAAAAAACCTTTACTTGTTCCTTTACAGCCTACGCGTGCTGACGCAGCTACCTACTTGAACGACATATATACCAGGCGTACACCTATTTGTGTGTACTAATGTACTAAATAAATAGAATAAATAGAAGTTACGGCATCTTCAAAAACGTGGCCGAATACTGATCTGGAGACGTTAAAAATTGTGTTTTATTTGTACAGCACTGAAACATGTAACAAAGTGATCACAGATAACATTTTCTGTGAAGACTTCTTATTCATTTTTTTTAAATAAATGACTTAGTGCTAATGCAGCAGTGTGGCTATCTGCGTTTACATTAGCAGCTGAGAATTGTGAGAGGATGGAAATCAAGGGCCTAGATGGATGTATGGCGTGTGACGGGTGAGTGACAATATTGCCATACGACGCCATGGTGACACACGTGATGGAACAGTGGGTGACACAACCCCATCAAAACGTCAGTTATTTTAATAAACGGCTTTAGTTCTTGCATCCAACACCTCCATTACTGCTTGAAAGACAGAAAAACGAACTGGTTTTAGTTTGTATTTTTTCCTCAACGTGTTATGTCAACAAGCGAATTGTAACAGTAACTCGTGACGCTTACTTAGTGTGTCTTACACTGACTACACTTATCTGTAATCAGTTACTGAGCTTTTCAAGCAACTTAGAAAACAGCAAGGCTCCAACGCGGTGAAAAAAGTGGAACTTTAAAAAATAATAATTCTGGGGAGAATATAATCTTCAGCCTGATGCCATTAGCTTGACCTCTGTTCCTGTACAAAAAGGATCTTAAAACAGTATGAATTGCTTCACAGTCCTCAACCCTTCTAAGAACAGGTCAGCAGGCTCTTGGCTTACTGACTATCTTCTTCTCATGACCAGGTTGCTGTACCAGTTTCAACCACAGATTAAAAAAAAACACTAAAGAAACAGCAGTTCTTAACCTTTTCCTAAGTGCGGCCCCCCCTCTGGACGAGTGAAAAAGTGTGCAAAAAAAAAAACACAGTTCCACATCAAATGAAAAATAAAACGACAGTAGGAAAAAAAATACTCACTCAATGAGATGGCTGCGCTCGTATAAAGGCAGAGAGGACTGTTAGGTCATTCATTGCTTCACAGGGGATTTGTTGGGCTGAGGTAAGGACGCAAATCTTTGTCTTCCCTAAGACGGGCTCTGCATTTGTTCTTCATGTACGTTAGTACTGAAAAGCCCAACTCACAAAGACAGGATAATGTGAATGGGTGATTTACTTTCAAAGCCATGTTACTCAGGCCTTCATATTTGCCTTGCACTGAGATCCCAAAGTCAGCCAGTAAAAGAGAGTGGGCTTTCTGTGAACAGCTGCTTTGGAGCCAAGTCAGTTGTGAGATCAGTCAATGATTCTTCAAAGTGAAGCAATAATCCTTTGTCAGCTGTCTCCGAATATGAATTTCTGATCCACCTGCCTGCAGTAGGGACCACCATGTGTTGAGGACAATACGTGCAAACTCAGTCCATTCAGATGAGCTCTGATAATTGTCTTCAAATCAGCTTTTGGCCCACTGTTCTCACATAAAAACTCCTCCAGGAATGGGAAGGCCTCAAAGTTGTCATTGACGACGCGCGTTTACCAAAACGTGAGTTTTCTGATCCACCCCAGAATTTCGTCGGAAAGATTAAACAGCGTAGTATTTTTCTCTGAAGTGTCACATTCAAGCCATTCAGCCAAACAAAAACGTCTGTGCCAATTAGGCTAAGTAGCAATCCATTTCGTCATAAGCTGTTTAATGAGTGATTTATTTATCAATTTGTATTGAGCCACCAGGTTAAGAACCGCAGCACTACAGTAATCCCCCTACACACCTGCTCTAATGCATTAAGTCACTCGTCACTCCAGGCTCCTGATGTTTGTACAGAACTGACTGTATCATTAGGTGTGCTCACCATGTACTCCAGCACACCCAGGGCATCGCTGTAGGCCAATAGTTTGGTCAGCAGGGTCCAGATCATGGCACTGCCTTTACTGTCCAGGACTGTCAGCTCCCTGAAGCACTTGTCAATGTCAGCCTTCACCTCCTGGAAAGCTGAGCGGGAACCAGAAACAAACCGATTAAGGCAGGTCTGTACAGGGGCGGCACAAGATACTGCAACCCATTTTTTTTTTTACCAGAGTGTGATCATCGGACACCAAACCCGAAGGTGAATGACAAAAAGGTACAGTCATTAAACAGTGTGGATTGTCCAGTGTGGACAAGGAAGTCCGTTCAAGGCACATAGAGTCCAGGCAGCCTGAGGCCAATCACACCACTTCCCTAGCTGATTCTTTGGGACTTCTCAGAAAATGAATTCATGAGATACTTAAACCACTGAGTTACTACCATCTAAATAAAAAAAGATGTTGTCTTCTTGTTTGTAACCTCTTATATTTTATATAAAATATTTTATATTTGATGTCTTTCCCTCTGATTTGCAAGGAAACATACATCAGTGAGGGGAATGTTTCACAGAAAGGAGATGACAAACTTCATTCACCACCAAAGTGACATCATGTGCCCCTTGTCAGATTAAGTAGAGACATTCCTTTCTCAGTGAATCAAGGAGGTAGCTAAAAATTATTATTAATACGATTATTAATTACTTTCTACTTGGCCAGAGTGGAATTTAGGCAGCATGCAGAGGTTAATACACCTGCTCTTATGAAATTCATCTTGGGATCTTGAAATGACGAAGTCATAGGATGACAACACCTCCTACTGCACAGCATCCCTGGTCACTATACTGCGGCACTGTTAATACCAGAAGGGAGAGCACCCCCTACTGGTCCACCATCAATAATGGTCGTGTTTATTACACCATGTAAACAATAATATTTATCTACATCACATACAGTAGAAATCAGGTGAAATCTGGTAGAAGGGTCCCATCCCACTACTGACCGAGCCCTGCATACTGTAGCTAACCATCTGAAAATGATCTGACAGGATCATGAAATTACTACTGTACATCTTCCAGGACACTTTTAACATCCATTTTTTTAAAGTAAAGGTTAATACATGCATGTTAATAAATGTGTGTCTCTCAGGAGTTTGTCACAATGCACCTATTTACCTGTGCCATGGATCTGTGTCTCAGATGCTGCTATTCCTGAAAAACAAGTTTTCACAATTTAATGTCAGTATGTCAGAGTATTGTCATAAAAGAAGAAGTTCCTCAAAACTGTCCCGAATTCCATACATGTAGAACTTTGCATAGATAGGAATGCAATGATCGCAATTTTGCCATTAAATACCTCTAAATAAGCTTCTTTCAGTAAAGACTCAATTAGTATGCAGAAGATCAAAGAATAAAGATCACAAAGATCATTATAATATGTTCTTCCAGTAATACATCTGATATCAAAACAGTACAGTTATTTTTATAGTTCTTAAACTTAAAATGTTTGTGATGTCCACTAAAGAAAAAGTTTTAATTATTTTTACTGCACATCATACATTTAGTGTCAGTAGAAAGCCTACTAAATTTTCAATGTTCAAAATGGGATGAATACTGACAATAACACAGATTGCATTTGGATCAGTCATAATGTTGTCAGTGCAGTGGGAGGGTATGAGAATTATGAACATAGATGCAGAAAAAAATTGGACCCAGGATAGTGCCTTGTGGGACTCCCCTACTGGAAAGAATTAGTGAAACAAACATAAGATTTATAGACCGTTTGTAATTTTGAAAACGAGCAATGGAGTTTACATCAAGACCAAAGCTGTACATGTTCCAAAGATCTCAGTGATATTTAGTATTATAGTTATAAAGGCAGTGCCATGACTGACCTTTATCGAGAGCTGTTATATTGTTAATCAGTTTTAAGTTTGCTTTAACACACCCATGCCCAGGACCAACACCAAACTACACATACAGTAATTAACTGGTCAGCAGTTGTGAGATTTATCTAAATTGTTGAGATTTTGGAGAAACATATCAAGGACCAGTTGGTTTAATGCAAACACCAGAAATAAAACTAAATAAGACAGAGACGGAGTTCATCAAGGAACACATTACCGTCAGAGATAAATGTTTTCTTTCTGGTTGGACTCGATACAGCACCTGCAAAGGAAAAAAATTAAAAACCTGTCGATAGAAGGGCAGAGCTATAGTGCTCTCTGTTCTTTGAGTTAAGGGTACATGAGTTCTTTGGTACTTTCAATCAACTCTGTTCACGCTAATCATAAAAAAATAAATATGGGCAATCCCCCGTTATCTAAATTCTTCTTCCTTTTTGTTTTTAAAAGGTAAATTGAGTTTTGTCATTAAAGGTATTTTAGGGGAATTTGGCAGGATGAGTCTTGGTTACAACGAAGGCAACCATGACAACATTACAGTCCTAGTTTTTGAAATGCTATTCACCACTGTTAATTTACTGGCAGTTTTTGCAAAAAAAAGCATAAAAAACAGCTCTAGTGGCATTCAGTAGCTACTAAATTGGCATGCTGAAAAAAGCATGAGATAGTTAATTGTTTTGTTTCCAAGGAAAGATGCAGGTGTAAGCATGGTGATGAGTGTTTCATGTTATGACCTTATCCATCATGTGTGTGAAGTACTACACTTCCTGGTTAAGCACATAGATTAATACAGTAGAAAACTGTAAGAAAACTGCAGCGGCACAAAACAAAACTTTTTTGCTGACTGAAAACAGCTCCTTGCTGGGGGGGGGGGGTCATTATAATTGGAACATTTCAAAATGAATGTTCGTACTCTTGAGACTCATTCAAGTAATGTAACATTTAAATGAATTTAAATTTTGCTTTCGATTTATGAGGACTTCCATTATCACCAAGCCTTAGTAACTGATGGTTTCCTGTGGGGTGTTTTGTACTTGTCGCTGTAGTGTTTCAGAAAGCTAGCCGATGGACTGACTGGTATCAGGAAAGAAAATTATTCTCTATGACGCCAGGCTGCAATTTGTTATATTTCACCAATTCATCAGGATGAGACTCATTTGTGTCAATCATTACTTAGTCTAGAATTCTAGTAGGCAGTTTGAAACACATTTTGCCTATATTATAGTGTGCAGCAAAAATAAAGTCACATTTCGTTCTCGTCTGCAAGAGGGTTTCTCTGGCAAAAAGACTTCGAGTTCAAACTCACCCACTTTGCCATCCCCCCGAAGGCTCAGCTCATAGACCTTGAACGCCAGTATGGTGCCCTCCTGGACCAGCATCTCCCATTTGTTACTGTTCACCATGTTAGCCTGCATCTGGAACAGAAACACCACGGCTCACCCTGGCTGCCAATAACTTGAGAGGGCAATCAGTCCCTATTGAATAGGCTCGGGTTTGGAAACGGGCCTTTCAAACCCTGTATCGTCAATATCGGCTCAACCTGAATTCTCCGAAAGGTATCAACAATGGGACAGGCAAGGTAGAAATATTATTTAATCACAACTCTGCACAACGTTGGAATTATCAAAATGCCTTCTAACTTTCAAACAGTGTCGTCTTCCCAGAGTTTTGGTTCAAGGAGTTTTAACTGAAACAGGCCCGTTAATAGCATTCGGCCAATCTTTCCACATGAAGAACTGGAAAGCTGCGGCAAACAATCTCATTCACAAAATAAGAATGGGTCAGGAAACTATTGGGCCACTCTTTAAAAATGAAAGTTTTTTAAGTGCTTTTAACAGTGAATAAGAGGTTTACAGCATGCCCATCTAAAGATTTAAAAAAAAAATAATATTAAAAAAACGTTGAGTCACTCAAATTCATATGTCTGTTCAACAATTGTCTCCTTTCGTGTGTAACCTTTCTAATGTTATGAAGCAGCTCAGTGTCAATCTTTGAGCAAACAAAAGTACCAGCGAGATCTAAATTCTGCGGTGGAATGCCTACCCCACGGCGGTCTAGATCAGAGATCCCAATCCTCATCAAGAGGGCCAGTGTGTCTACAGGATTTCAGTCCAGCTGGGCTCTTATCGACTCTTATAGTACCGGCTCATCATTGACTTTGTAGACCAGCAGCTTGCCCCTTGCTGCTTCTTTTAAAAAACCCTGCAGCCACACCAGGCCTCCAAGATCGGGAATGGGGACTCCTGTTCTTGATGTTAGTGCTAGAATGCAGAGCTTCATACCTCAGTCACTGGCACAACTGGCGCCATGCTCAGTTTTAAGTACCCACGTCTGGAGCAGGATTGCTTGATTAACAGCTGGCTCTTTGCTCGGACAGACGAGATGATCACACCCAAACCATGAGCCCTTTCTCTGCTCAGTTTCTGCACCAGCCAGTGGGACATGTCGATCTTCCTGCAAGAGGCCGTAGATCAAGCCCAGGAAAAAGAGCACATCCTTAGTGCTCCAATCCCATTTGACATCCACTGCAGCAGGCAAAGAACATCTGTCCGTGCCAGCAGAATTTGCCTTTTACAGTCCCTCCTGTAGGACCTGTAACTCGCCTGCCCAGAGGACCTAATCTTTGCGGCTGTGAATTTCCATAGAACGTTTCACTGTTGAATTTATAAGGCTGTAATTTCTAATACAGACTGTATTTTTTCTGATAAGGCTGTAGTATTTTGTTGTGGTAAGAGGACCAATATGGAACAGAATATTCTAAATGTGGACGCTTTAAATTCCACAATTTTACTATTTACAAAATGATTCTGCTAACAGGAAAGCATGGGAAAAAAAATTCAGCATCTTACTGGAGGCATTAAAGAATCTACAGTCTGTCACAAAATCCACTGCCTCTCTTGGATATTTACACTGCTGTGTTTCGCTGCCATTTTCCTGAAGCTACATAGTGTGACTTCCACAGTGCACGGACTCACGCGTTTTGCAGCTCCTTCATCAACTTGTTGAAATCCATGTCCATCACCTCCACGCAGAAGGACCCCAGATTGGTGGTGTGGTCCAGTGACACCTTGCTGTCCACCTCCACCTGGCTGGCGGTAACCTGTCCAGAGAGGCTGCTATTCCCCTCGCTTGATTTGGTCAGTGTGATGGTCAACGTACTGTTGAGTCCTGCAAACAGAAAGTGCAGGGCTGGGAGAGAACAGCACACTCCAGGAACCACAAGTCTTCTGCTTTTCATTCAGAAACAGACTGTATTGCCTAAAATTATTGAACTCTTCACTGATCTATTTCCTTAATTACACATTTTTTTATCGAATGGATTTGCCCATTTTTCTATATGTGGACCCTTGCAATTTGGATAACAATCAATTGTCCCACACCATGGCTACTACAATCCCTGCACTGCTAGGGGGACAGTGGGAAAGAGAGAATCTGTGCTTCTCTCTTCTGGATCTGTGAAAATCTGTGGAGTGGCTTAGCATTCGTCTGATTGGAAGAGTGACAGGACTCTCAACTCTTAATGACAAAAATGCATCTCCCAAGCCAAGGATGATCATTTAAATATGGCGGGGCTCATGCTAGTGCCTCTTGAGGAAACATGCTATTTCCATACCTGTATCAGGCCTGGACAGAAATGTGCCTTTTAGGTGCTTCCTGAGTGATAAAGAAACACATTAGGGCTTACAGTACCTGGTTTGAAAAGGAAACGTCTCATTAAAGGGGAACTGCAGTCCCAATTTCTCAGACCAGTAGTTAAATGTCGGTAGCAAAATAAATGAATTCACAGTATTGCAAAATTTTACAAATTCCAAACTAAGCACAAAATTGTGAACATTGCGAAAGTACTGTACGGCGTCCATGCTGTCGCAATCCTCCGTTCTCGCCAGAGACAACAACAGGAGTTCCCACAAGTTTTGACGTAAGCAGGTGCCCTTCCTGCTCACTAGTCACCAGCGGATGTGGCTAAGGATCTGTGCCTGTGGCTGGAAGGTTGCCGGTTCAAATCCCGCGGCCGGCAGAGGAATCCTACTCCGTTGGGCCCCAGAGCAAGGCCCTTAACCCCAACTGCTCCAGGGGCGCCGTACAATGGCTGACCCTGCGCTCTGACCCCAAGTTTCTCTCCCTGTCTGTGTCTCCATGGAGAAAAGCTGGGGTATGCGAAAAGACGAATTCCTAATGCAAGAAATTGTATAGGGCTAATAAAGGAACATTATTATTATTATTATTAATAACTAATTTAATGAGGTGAACGAGCAAATAAGTACAGGTTGTGCAGCAGACATTTCACCACATGAATGTTCCAACATGATCAGCATGCAGAGTTAACAAGTAGTATTTGTCAGCAAAACCATCTCAAAGTCGAGAGCAATAGTTGTACTGGATTAAAAGAGATGTATTCACGAGACTGCTGGTTCACAATGTAATGTGGCCGCTTCACGTCACAGGAAGTTTTGTTGCCTCTTTCTGAACGGCAGACGATGATGGCAATATGGCACTGCGCATACATTAAAACAACTGGGGCTGCCCGGACAAGGGCACAGAGTTCCCACAGCACCAGGTTTGTGGGTGCAGCAGCTGAACAAGGGAGCAACCCCTATCTTGTAGTAAAAACAATCCTCATGGGCTTTCGTGCCCCAGAGAATCCATGTTTTAGGTAAAAGCTGCTTCTGTCCTCCTTGCAGTGCCTTAGGCCTTCTGCTGGCAACGTAGGGTTGACAGTGTGAGCAACAAATGGATATTACGGTTTACCTCCTGAGCTTGAAACAGAAGTGTAGAATGACACTTTGGCAAATTCAAAATAGTATGAGTTCTTGTCGGGCATAGTCCTCCTTGGTATAATCAAACCGGAAACACAAACAGTACCCAAACAGAGAAAAGCAGAAAACCAAACAAAACCACAACCAACACTGTAAGGCATAAGGTCCTTGTGCAGTTGTCTTTTTTAATAAGGATAATAAATAATAATAGTAGCCCCCACTTGGATGATGCTACAGCAGCCAAATGGTGCCAGTACAGTCACCACACACCAGCTCTCAGTGGGGAGGAGAACAGAGTGATGAAGCCAGTTCAGAGATGGGGATTATTAGGAGGCCATGACTGGTAAAGGCCAGTGGGAAATCTGGCCAAGACATTGGATTAAAACCCCTACCTTTTTCGACAAATGCCCTGGGATTTTTAATTACCATGGAGAGTTAGGATCTCAGTTTTACGTCTCTTCCGAAGGATGAAGCTTTTTTTACAGTATAGTCCCCGTCACTATATGGGCTTTAGGACCCACACAGACTGCAGGGTGAGCGCCCCCTACTGGCCCCGCAACCTTAGTTTTTCCCAGGAGGTCTCCGATCCAGGTACTGACCAGGGTCAGACCTGCTGATCTTCAGTGGGTTGCCGGTTGTGAGCTGCAGGGTGATA